TGGAGCACAGTACCAAGAGGGACGAGAGGCCGAACAAAACGAGAGTCACGTGCGGATTCAGTAGAAAATATGAATCTCCGAAAATTGTTGATATTGTGGTGGTGGTGGTAGCGCCAAGGCCGCTGCCAGGACCGCCGTTACTGCCACCGCCGCTGCCGGAACTCGACAGCGCTCGATATTGTTGCCGTAGAACCGGCAGCACTTTCAAAGGTCCCACCACTTGAATCTGAAAGCACGAACTCGGGTTATAGGACGGTTCTCGCAGAGCATCTCGAATTTTAGTTCGCAGCAAGGATCGAGAAGTTCCCTCGTCGAGAACTTACCTTGTAAAGAACCGACATTCCAACGTAGGCCAACAAGCTCTGCGCAGAGTTAACGACCAACTGAACGCTGAAAATGGTGCCGAGCGCCTTGTTGCACGACCAGAACACCGCGGGATACCTCACCGAATACACTCCAAGGGCCACGGCGTAGTTCAAATACTCCAAGGTGATGGGCCCGTAAGATTCGGCTGTCGACATTCCAGAAGACACGGGAAATTAGAGCAGAGTCCGAAATTAAGTGATCTTGACGGCGGATTCTCGGAAGCACCGCCTCCAGTCCTCCCCCTCCCCTATCCTGTCTTTTCGCGGCAGCCATAGTGTTTGAGGCACCTCCGGCGAAAACCGCACAGGGTGTCCAAAAAGTGTTTAAATCAAATGGAACAGGTAATTCTAAAGATCATTTGAAGACACTTCATATCGTCAGCGAAAATGTCCTCTTCTCCTAATCGTTAAGTGCAATGAAAGATTGAGATTTAATCGTTGATTCAATTTTTGCCCAATTCTGTCTGGCCAAGGGAGGCTGTGCTTCCGAAGATCGGTTGGTAAGATCGCTTGCATCCCGTATCTGAATTAGAGGATTCGTCTTTCCAGAAGACCCTTACCCGCGGTCATCTCGAGATTCAGTTTTTCCGGATGATCCAAATCGGAGAGACTGTTCATCGTCAGCGACAGACTATGAGCGGTCATGTTCCCGCCACCTCGGACGGGTCTGATGGTCGTCGACGCTGCTCTCCCGAAGCTCTTGGCCTTCGACCTGCTCTTCGCATGATTGTTCCTGACGAACGTTTTCGCAGTTGCTCGCCTGACGGCCGCGTCGTACTTGTCCGTGGTGCTTCTCAACGTTCGCGGGGTTGCGTTCACCGACCTCGACGTCGCGGCCGTAGGCGACGAGCTCGCGACCGACGTGCTCGCCGTTGCGGCGACGGTGGTCGTCGTCGTCGCGGCGGCGGTGGTCGTAGTCATGGTCATCTCCGCGATCCTCGTCGTCGTATCTGTCACGGTCACCGTCGGCGTCTCGACGGTCGACGTAGGCGCCGTCTTTCCCGACGTCGCGGGACCGTCCTCCCTCGAAGAGGTTCTCGGATGGCCGCGATTCCCGGTCGACGCCGGGCTGGTGTTCGAGAGCCGCGCGTTCGGAGGCAGCCGTCCGTTGCCGGTGGTTCGAAACGAGTCCGGAAACGTCTCCACGGCTTTCCCGATACGGGACGAGGCAGCGTCGTCGACGATACCGGTTGCACCCGTCGTGCCAGCCGTCGATGCAGCGATATCGTTCGTCGCCTCGTCGAGCTCCTCGTTCGGCGTCAGCGTGACGAACGGCTGAGGAGTGATGAATCCGGTCAGTATGCTGAGATTCACGTTCGGGTTCAGGAAACTGGACACGACCAGCCGGTCGCGATGAATGACAACCCAATCCAGGTCCGTGCGCCATATCGCGTCTGAAAGAGAAACGTACTGTTTTTTACGTCGGCTCCTCGTGTTTCCTTGTATCGCGAGATACGGTCTAACCGGGGCGAAACGAAAACGATTCTACGAAAGATAAGCCCTCGAGGAGAGCCGTGTGCATACACACGAGCGACGCGGAGGCACGTGCATACACACACGCACACACACACCTGGCCGATCGATACACGAACGCGCACGCGAACGCGGACACCGGTCGTTGTGTAACTTGCAACCAATTCGACCACGTTGCATCTAAATGATACGAAATACAGTAATTTCTCTCGGAAATGTCACATTTCGGGCTGCTGTGAATTTCCCTGTGCTGGTCGTACGCCTATGTAATTTATTGCTGCGTCGATGCCAAGGATCGACGGAATTCCCGGAAGACAATAGAAAATGGCCTACTTGGACGCGGAGCTGCGAGATAAGTGGTAGATGCTAGGTATAGTAAATTCTCCCCAATTTAACCTTCAGTTTGGACAATTTGGGAAGAGGAGATACAGCTATGCCAACAGCTATTAAAACGAGTCGCAAGGCTCGAATAATCTCCTCTTATAATAATAAAATTTAACCCTTTGCACTCGAAGCCATTTTAATCATAAACCTAAAATAATATTTCTGAATTATAGTATTTACATTTTATATGACAAAGTGCATTTTATGCATATGAAATTGAGTCTTGTGGTGACTCGTACAACAGCTACACTTTTAACAATTTCTTAATATAAAAATTATCTTAGAATATGATATAACAATTTTAGTGGTGCCTCAGAGTCACCACTCGAGTGCAAAGGGTTAATAAATAGAATTTTAATTCAATTGACTTTATTCGGCGGATATTTAAATTAAACTAATATCTCCTATTCCCAAATTGTCCATTTTTCTGCGCAATCTGTGCATCAATTAGGGAGAATTTACTGTGGCCCCGAATTGCCTTCGAATTGTGACAAAAAATTAGAAATAAAAAAGTTAAGAGCTGCGGGGCTCGAAGAATCACGACTTAGTATTCTCGCATTTGCCGGTTTCACTTCCGAGCTCCCAGCATTTCTGGGAGAAATTACTGTTCGCGGAAACGTGTCGATGATCCAGGCGCGACGATCCGGATTACCTTTCGGCAAGAATCCGGCGTGTATGAGCCTGGCTTCCATGAGCAGCGAAGGTAGAAGGAAACACATGGCCGTGCATAGGTGTACGAACGCTGCCGTCGGACCTCCGTGCCGCCACAAATTGTTCGCCAGACCTGCGAAGCGAAGTTCAAAGTTCATCGAATCAGCATTGCGAAACGGTTGGGGCAACGAAGGGGAACGAGAGGGAGGGGGTGGCGCGTTTCATCATCACTCACTGTTGTCGTGGTTGTTGGCCAGCAGCGAAGAGGGTGGATCGCGCGAGCACGCGCTCAGGTGACGGCCGAGCTTGATTCCGTCGTTGGCCAGGTTGCCGAGCTTCAGAAACGCCGCGCCCAGGAGAACCGGAAGTAGAACCACGCCGGTGCCCGCCAGCACAAGACAAGCGTACAATTCGAGCTTCGGCGGCGGTGCATCCGCCGGCCAGGGCAACGACAAGTACGCTGCAAACAAACTCTTATTATTATTAAATTCTTATTATTAAACTATTATTAATTATTAAACTCTTACTTAACATTTTATATTTACTGATAGTATTTTTAATAATGTTTTCTAAGATCGAAGATCAAGAGTTAAGGATCTCTTGAAAAGCTGGTCGAAAACTCCAATAATTTAGGTCAATCTAATATAACAAGATTGTTTAACACGATTATTTAAAAGAAAATTATCGAGTTTCTTTCAGACACGGTTCAGTCGTTGAGAAGCCTCTTAACTCCAGCTTTTCGGAACGCGTCGCTTTGAAATTATAATTATAATTATAAAATTGCAAGTATAATTATGACATTATAATTATAATAATGAAATTATAATCATAATTATTAAATTACAATTATAATTGACATTATAATTATAATTACGAAATTACAATTATAATTATGGCATTATAATCATAATTATTAAATTACAATTATAATTATGACATTATAATTATAAAATTACAGTTATAATTATGGCTTTATAATCATAATTATGAAATTACAATTATAATTATGACATTATAATCATAATTATAAAATTATAATTTATGAAATTATAATGTCACTGCTCGATAGAAACGATACGCGTTTCGCTGTGTTACCAGTCAGCAAAGCCAAGTTTCCAAGTCCCATTTTTAGAAGAGAGTGGAGGGGGAACAAAAGCGGAGACGAAAGCGAGCGCAGCCTGAGGCAGCGATAAATAAGCAACAAAAGATTTTTTTGTTCCGACTCACCGGCGAATCGTTTCGCGTATCTCAGCCCGATGTAGGCTTGCAAGCCGACCGCCAAAATGCCGTACCAAACGGACCACAAGCTATTCACGTGGCCCTGTATGCAGGAGTTCCGTTTGGCGGTCCTGCCTGTGCAACCGCCGCTGCCACTCGTGCTGCAGTTTCCGTTTCCGTTGCCGTTGCCGGTCCGCGATTTTCTCGCTTTGCCGGTCGCGGCGACGCCGCTCGCATTGATGCTGGACACTATCGGGAGCGGCTTCAGCGGCTTCTTGCATTTCGCTTGGTTCACCTCGTTGTTGTTTTCGTAGCCCATCAAGCTTCCTGTCATCGACATCTTGTTCTGGAAAAGCATAGGTCGGGACAACCGTTACGCTGTTACGACCGGATCAACCTCGGAAGTCGTCTCTCTACGCCTCCGCTGAACGGGGCGCCCGTTTCTTTCTCGTCGACGAGCGGCACACGCCGGATGCTCCTTCGATTTCCTTCCGCTGCCGATCGACTAAGGTCCTGAGCGAGGGCCCGCGGAACAATCGGTGCCGAGCTTCGTCGTTTCCGGCATGTTTGACGGCGTCGAGGATGCCTGGAACACACGAGACGAGGCTGTAACGTACAGAGAATTCCGCGTCGTATCTTTCTAATTTATTTCCTGGGATGAATATACAGGATGTCCCGAAAATGTCTCGTAATCCGGAAATGGGGGCTTCCTGAGGTCATTTGAAGAAACTTTTTCCTGAGCGAAAATGTTCTACGAGGCTTCGTTTACGAGTTATCAACGAAAAACCGTGACCAATGAGTGACCGCGCGCGGCCGGTGCTCCGCCCTCGCGGCCAATGCCGCGTCGCGTTGGCCGTCTGACGCGGCGGCAGTGGTCGCGAGGGCGGGGCGACAGATGTGCGCAGTGTTTTTCGTTGATAACTCGTAAACGAAGCCGCGGATTGCATTTTCGCAAAGGAAAAAGTTACTTCAAACGACCTCGGGAACCCGTTTCCGGATTGCGAGACATTTTCACCCTGTACACACGTTATATTTGGCTTCAGCTTTTTACAAATTTCTCTAGCACAATGATGCGCAAGATGCGCTTTTTCATCTCGAAGGGAGAGGATAAGCGGCGAGAAGAGCTGTGTCCCGGTTCGGGACGCGTCTCTCTTCTGTTCCGGCGACGGAAACGGGCGGCAGAGCCGTGGAAAGCCGGGGAAAAACAAGCCGTGGAACAATCGAGTGGCGCACGGGCGCGGCAACAACCGAGAAGCGATCAGGAAACGGCCGCGGCGACGGACAATCGGAGGCGTGAACGCTTCCGCACAAAAGCCTCTGCCGGGAGAACAGGTGGGGTTGCTAGCGTACCGTGATAATTCTAGTGCCCTTACGAGCGCGATTCTCGGTCCCTGGGTTCTTCTCCGGAGCCCCTCGAAAACCCTCCGGTCACGGATTATCCCGGTGCCTCTTCCGCGCGAGGCGCGCATTATCGTCGCGTTTGTCGGCGTCCGTCTCGTTCATGTTCCTCCCAGCGATAAGATGACGGCGACGGCTCATTTCTTTTTTATTTATTTATGTGTATATAATGGATGTAATATTATTATATTATATTATATTATACAATATTATATTTTATTAAACTATATTATACCATATTATGTTGTGCCATATTATATTGTACCATAATATATTGTACTATAATATATATATTATATTATTCATTATTAATGTTATATTAATTATATATATTATTAAATAAATAATAATATAATGTTTAATATTATTAATATTATAATAATTAAATATTATTATTAATAATATTATTAGCTAATTAATAACTGATATTATTTTCTTTCGATCGCCAAGCCCGATCTCTGCGCGGAAAAATCGTAAAACTTCGCGGGGAAACGAACGGGGCGGGAAATCGCTTCGCAGTTCCGAGTTTCGAGCCGTCGTCGCTCGAAAGAGTCGGTCGTTAGCCGTTCACCGTGAAGGAAGCGCACTCGAGGACCGACTGTTTTCGCAGTTGTTACCCTTTGCTGTCTCGATTGCGCCCACGAGAGGCTCTCTCCGTGCCGTGCACCACCTACGGACTAACCTAAACCGTTTCCCCTTCAGCGAGCATTTCAGGAAAGATACGCCGAGAGCTCCCTTCGCAGACTTTCCCTCGGCCACCCACGTCCTACGCCCTACGCCCTACGCCGCAAGATTTTCCAACGACGCGTTCCTGGCTACTTTAAGCGACTGTGACGTTGAAAAATGTTATTTCGAGCAGCAGGAGGGTCCGGCCCATGGCTGGACCCTGTAACGCGAGCTGAGTGGGTTGGTCACCCCGGAAGTTATCGGAACCCGGGAAACGCGCGTCCCCGCATCTCCGATGTCCGCTGAAACCGGTAACGAATCGTTCGACACTGTGCACGGTGGCCTGGAAACCACGGATTTGAAAGGTTCCGAAAATAACCGTGTCAAACTGTTATACATGTTGGCAACTCGGAAGCCGATCGGTGCAAGTCCATTGGCCTTAACATCGAAATGAGGAGAGATCTTGCAAATTAGATGTGAAAAATAATGCAAAATTTTTTAAGATTATATTACAATAATATATGTAATAATGTATAATATAATATATTATTATATTATTAATATAATATAATAATATATATAATAATAATATAATAATTATAGTAGTATACAACAACACAATATATATAATAATAATATCATAACAAAATAATCTGATCGCAGATTTACGCGACAGTGTCGCTCGTATCACGGCAAGGAAATTTTCAAGAAACAAAGTGAAATTACTCTTCAACCATTAGTATTACGGCTAACGAAGGTCAATACTTTTCTACTCAGAATTCGATGCTCTTCCATATTCCGACATAAAAATATAGCATTCTATTCAAAACAACAAATTCGATCTTCGAATCTCCGAAGCGCCTCCGCCTATGAAAAAAATAAATGCACTGCACGATACACCCGTTTAAACCAAGCAACATTTCTATACAACATATTTTTCGCGCGACGCATATTTTGGAAGTTATAGAGGAGCAAACGTGGCAGCCCCTGTATACAATTCGTCCGTTTTATTTTGGCCGCGCGAAGACGCTTCCCAGACCGCTGTGCGGCGAGACGCGTCGATTCGGTGAAATTTCGAGTTCGAGAGCTTGGCGATCCAATGATCGCTCCGCGATCGTAAGCCCGAAAGCATGATTGGGGAATGCACGATCGGAGGAACCGGCGAATAATGTTTCGGCGCTTGCGCCCCCATGACGCGACGGTGTACAAAGTTGAGGTCGCGCCCGGCGACTACTAATCGTCCAACCCCATCGCATCGATCCGTTCCATTAGACCGGTGCATCCGAGCCTCGAAGAAGCGGTTTCGACCGGACCGGGAAACGCTGACGAGTCCGCTCGCTCTCGCGTTTCTATTTCTAGCGTTCCTACGGAGAGAGAGGCTGCTGCATCGGCCGAGAAACGGACGGCGGATAAGAGCACGCCGGTAAAGATCGATATAGAGGGGCACAGGAAACCCCGATATCGTTGCGGACACGGCGATCGGGGGATTCACGAGGCGAGATCGCGGGTCCGCTGTGACTGTCTCGTTTACGAGCGGATTTCTTTTCGAGCCGAACCGCCCTGTGTCTCGCGACCACGTGAGTCAGCTTGTCGCCATGGCGACGCAGCATCCCTCTCGCTGAGAGCCGCACGACTTTTCGAACTCTGTTCATCAGATACAGATCATGGCATTTCTACGTACAAGTGTAATAAAATATATAATACAATATAGCATAACATAACATAACATAATATAATATAATATAATATAATATAATATAATATAATATAATATAATATAATATAATATAATATAATATAATATAATATAATACAATACAATATAATACAATACAATTATAATATTACATGATATATGATATAATATATATAAATAATACAAAATAATATAATATAAAAATAATAATAAAATATATAATATATATATAATAATAATAATATATAATATATATAAGAAGAAGAATAATGCGATCTTCGAGAGAACATCAATGACTTTCACGAGATTTCATTTGTTGCAAGTAGGGAAGACAAGGGTTGAAAGTTCCGACTTTAAGAAAACATAAAAATTGACACAGTTGCTTTCTTCGTTTCTGACTAATTTATTGTCAAATTTGTTCTACTTTAAGATTGTCTACTTCAAGATAAGTTTTTCATGGGAACTCGTTTCTTTTGCGGCCAACTCAAGCGGAACTTCTTACCCCTTTGGGGGGCAAGTTGTCAACGCTTTGGGGTAAGTTGTTACTAAGAAATGAATAATACTTTCTAATGAGATATTTCCTTCTCCTATTATATAATAATATTATATATAATATATAAAAAATATAAAATGTATAATATAATATACAAATAACAATAATATATAATATATAAAATATAAATAATACGTTTAAATATTATTTTGCACATTCCTCTTCTTTTGCAACCCTCCTTTCTAATTACGTAACCACCCATTATTTCCATCAATGTATCATTACATTAGACGATCAAGCACAAAATGCACACTTCATTCCATAATTTCACTAGAAAATCTAAGCATTTCATGATTAACGGCCCAATACATACGATTTTTATTACGAACGTTAATGTTCCTATACAAATCACGCGGACAGCATCTCGTTCGCGTTTACGCGAAAGCCGACGCGGCCGTCTACGAAGCGTCGTTCTACGATGATTTAGGAGCAATAATCTTTCGTGCCGTCGAGCAGTTTAAGGACCGATGCCCACCAAAGACCGCCTTGTGTCGGGCATTAAAGCGAACTTCGGGGGAACATGTGGTTCGCGCGCGCCTTCTACCCCCGTGGGAACAGAAAAATGCCGAGGCTCGCCGGGCTCGGGAAAACGATCCCGAACGCGATCGACAAGGGCGGTAATCAGATATTCGAAATCCCTTTTTTTGCGAGCGTTTCGACGTCGTTGGTCCGATTAGACCGTGTGTATTAGAGCGTCGAATTAGGTGCGAGGCGTCTTTTCACTTTGTACAGTAATTTCTCTCGGATTCGCGCTCGGATTGCGGCACAAAAATGGACAATTTGGGAAGAGCGGATACGATTGCTATTTAGTCAATAATTATAAAAACGAGTCGCGAGACTTTACTGTACTTTAAAGCAGTACTGTACTTTAAAACTTTTAGAGTAAATAATAAGATAAATTTTATCGAGGAAACAATTGCAATATTCTCTCAAACTTTAAACATTAAAATTCAAAGTTACAATCTCAGTTGTTGTAACAATAAACGTAACTATCCAATTATCAACCCGCAGGCCATTATTATTATTATGGTATATTGTATAGATTATTATTGTATTTATTATATTATATTTATTATTATACATAAACATAGAAATTCAAAGTTACAATTTCAATTGTTATAACAATAAACGTAACTATCCAATTATCAACCCGCAGGCCATTATTATTATTATTATTATTCTGGTATATTGTACAGATTATCATAGTATTTATTATATTATATTTATCATTGCACAGTTTGCGATGCTCCAATCGTTCTTTCTCATCGATAAG